TAATAATAATAATAATAATTTTTTTGATTTTTCAATAAGTATGGCTGATAATTTTATTTATTTTAATAATACTTTATTTTGTCAGGTCGAGGTGATTTCACTTTATTTGACAATAGACTGATATTATTTCCACTCACAATAGTGAAGTCGCAATATTACTAATACAAAAGTGAAAGTTAAAAAGACTAAATTAATCATTGTTTTAAGTTTGTTGTTGTTTGTTGTTATTAATAATAATAATAGGCCTTATAATAATATAATATGCCTATTAATAACAATAATAACAATAATAATATAATAATAATAGGCCTTAATAATATAATATGCATAATAATAATAATAATAATAATAATATAATAATAGGCCTTAATAATATAATATGCATATTAATAATAATAATAATAATAATAGTAATAGTGATAATAATAATAATAATACTGTAATAGTAATAATAATAATAATAACAATAACAATAACAATAACAATAACAATAATAATAATAATAATAATAATAATAATAATAATAATAATAAAGATTTGTAAAGCGCAAACATCTGATTTAGCATCACTTGATAAAAAAAAATGAATGGGCGGGCGTGGGGAACCCTTCAGAAAAAGGGCAGAACGTCCTTTAAAGTCAGATAAGCTTCTCTTAGCAGACCTTAGCATATGATCATATATTTTTTTCGACAGTATGCAATCTTGTTCTTTTAGATTAGAATGACTTTGTTCATTTTTTATTTGTTTTTGTATTTTTTTTTTATTAGAAGAAATGTAAACCCCAAATATAGTGCAAATATTTATAAGATTGTGTCCCCTCACTCACAGTTATGAATTTTCCTATCTGTTTTCCATTTTTTCACTCGGTTTATAAAATACCCATTCGGTGACCATCATTAGATTTTTGCTAATTAAAGCTTGATTTCCGCTCCTTTGCATATTTCCTTGCGATATACAACATTTTTAACACTTTAAATTTATTATTTGTCGTATTAAACAACATGGTAGGCCCAAAAAATAAAAATAAAGCAACATTTTTTTCTTATGAAATTTCCATTTTTCGTGGCGGTGAGTGTGCTAATTGGCCAAATATACGGTAAATTTGTTTTATTCGAATCATCATTTTAGACAAGGTACAAAAAAGTCTGCCATATCTACGACCATACTACACCTGAAGATCGAGAATATAGAAGTTGTTAATAGTTTAAATGATTTTTTGTTTTAGAGTGGAATTTTTAATATGCCATTAATAATAGAATCAACCTTAAAATCGATCTTTGCGTGTATGCTGTAACCATGGCTGTAAATTGTGATCGTACGCGGCGGATACCCTACGCGGTGGATACCCTACGCGGCGCTATTTACACGATCTTTTGTTACTTTTTCGCCAGTGACGTCATGGTAAAATCGTATATAATCGCCTATAACTTCATAAAAAAATAGCCAAAAAAAGATTTTAAGGTTGATTCTATTATTAATGGCATATCAAAAATCCTCTCTAGAACAAAAAATCATTTTGCTAGTTCTCTTTTAACTTAAAAATGCATATAATGCACCTTATTACTTTTGAAAAATGATAAAAACGGCTTCAATACAACAGAAGAAGCTTCCGATGGCATGGGTATTTTATTTTGAACAAATAAACAGCCCTCCTCATTCACAGCCGTCAACTGTAGTGTTATAAAGCCACGAGCAACCTATTTGTTCATTTATTGATAGAAAAAACTTTGTTAAGGGTGCAGTAGTCTAGTAAGTAACCTGGACATTTAAAATGTGATAAACAACAGAGCCCCTATACTCCTTAGAGTTTGATCTTTATTAGATATACAATGAGAAACATTTTTGTACTGCTTTAACGTTAGCTGTAAATTTTACCTCTTTAAATAATGGTCTAACAGCTTAACATCACACCTCAGACATGCGAGATACATTTACAAACGATGTCATGAAAACGATTGATAAGGTTTGGAATAACAACCTGGTGGCAATAATGGCATTCGGACCCCCCCCCCCCTTTCCCTCGGCGCCAGTGCTGCATAATAAGAATAAAATTTAAATATTTTATTTTTCCATGGTTGGCTAAAATTAAATGTTCTTGAAGACCGGATTTGGCTTGTGAGCAATTTATTAAGAACCCTGGCTGTAAACTCTTTTTTGGAAAGAACAATGCAACACAATATTATCACGACAAAACATTAACACATGTAATCTGGGGTACTATTTCAAAAACATTTAAAATTTGTTTATTGTAAATTGCCAACATTACATCTTTGAAACAAGTGATTTGAAAATATAAATATGTAACGCTGAAGATTACAAAAAGAATCAAACTCTATTATAACAATAATATGTGTAATGATAACATTGCTATCATAGACAAAACCATGATATATGAGCACGATAATTGTTCAGGTTTATACAGATTGGTAAACAGCAGCCTCGATCAAGCACACAATATTACAGCTAATACTGTTTGTGGACAAATCGGGGAAAACCCCTTAAAATAATTACAGTAAAACAATGAATACCTCATTAAAACTTCTAATGAGCAGGAACAAATCAAGTTATATTATCGTTCTAATATTAACTTGACAGCTAATTACTTTCTTATATAAAATAAGCAATTAAAACAACTACTTCCAAGGGTACACTGACATAAACAATTCATATTAAAATCCTATTGATTGCTAGTCAATCTATGCAAAGAAATAATTAATGGAATTATTTGTCTGTAATTAATTGGTGAGTAAAGTTGTAATTTTCTATAGAAATTTTAGCCACAGCATTTTCATAGCAATCGTTGCTGCCTAGCTATCTCCGCATGTGGCAAAGGTGTAGTGATGGTGCCTCACATCATGGAGCTCAACACAATTCATCAGGTGGAAAAGATGAGCCTACGTAATTTTTACATAGGATTACAATTAGTAATCTCCAGCCAAGCCACAGGGTTCACATGGGCTGGTGCTTATCCTCAGGAGTGGACTCTAAAATCAATTACAATAAACTTTTAAAAATTGTCAGAGATTTCAGGTGCTTTGCCCTCTGAGACCCCTTAGTAGAGAAGTTCTGGGTGGCTTTTTTACATAGGATTACAATTAGTAATCTACAGCCAAGCCACAGGGTTCACATGGGCTGGTGCTTATCCTCAGGATTACAACTGCAGTAGACTCTAAAATCAATTACAATAAACTTTTAAAAACTGTCAGAGCTTTCAGGTGCTTTGCCCTCCGAGACCCCTTAGAGAAGTTCTGGGTGGCTTTTGGGCTACCCACTTATTCTCCTGTTGAATAAAAGAAAGCTAAATAATGATATGTCATGTCTTAATAATGGCAAATATTTAGTATAAATAATAACTTTGAAAGATCAAAAAATAAACCTATAGCTCACATGCACAGACACCCTTAACTTGCACCAACACATAACATATAAAACACAAGTACAGTATGTTTTTTTTTTTTTATAGTTGCAAGCATTGTTTAAAGAAATTAATAAGCAAAATACATTTCACTTAAAAATAAAAACAATTCTAATCAGAATAGTATACTATATGCTCTGGCATACAGTATATTTGTGACCTCATCTCACTCTCAACCACTCAACTCTCTGTTCATTTAACCAACTCCTACTGAAACCTCGACCATGCACTCATATGGGGACAGGGCGTTTTCTGTGGCAGCTCCTAAACTCTGTATATTCTATATGAAATCAGTGCAACATTTTCAAATTTTCAAAACAAAACTCAAAACACACCTTTTCTTTTGATTTGTTTACAAAACTGGGAATTCAAAGCACTTCAAAACTAACTGTCTTTTGTGCTATACAAATGTTATTTATTTTTAATATACTGTATAGCAATTGTTGTATATATACAATTCAATATTAATAAGAAAGACTAAATTTGGGGAAAAAAATAAACTAACCTAAACACAACATTGTGATAAAACTTCAGTCTAATACGTTTGACATTGGCTCTTTTACCAACTGTCATCATCTCTCGGGTTGGATCACAAATAAATAGCTAGCATGATGTTGAAACACAACCTGAAATGCACCTTCTTTTTAAGTAGATCCACACAAGTTTGCTAATTGTCTATTAAAGGACGGGCAGTAGTTCCAATGACCTAGATATCTTGACTGTAATATTTCAAAGAAAAATGTAACAAATATCTGTATTACTGTATATTACACCTGAATGTCCAGTAGGCTTTCTTCTAGTTTTAACTGAGCATGATATGTCAAGGGTCATTATGAATATAAACAAATACGCAAATGATTTATAGTACTATTTCTGCATTCTTAAACTGCAAGATCTGTTCGTTTTTTGACTTGACCTTTGACATAATTATAGCCAGGTGATCAAGTGGGTTCGAGGGCCCTTGAGACACCTTTCACTATTTAGGCAGATTTATTCCCTTCTCCTTTCTATATGTATTATACAACCCAGAGAATTGAAAGACGGAATGTAGGTATGAATGTACTATCACATTGATAACACATTCATTAATGCCGTAACATGGGGACAGGAATGTGGAGGAGGAAAGTATTTGGTTAGCATCATTCAGTGGTGAGCGTATCTGATATTGCATTCCAACTGAATTCGTTATTCTGTTATTGTTAAAAAACACATTTTATCACACTCGAAGCACTGTATATACATTATTCTTGAATACAACTTTGAAAGGTTTTGGGTTCTTTCTGAGCCTGGAACACGTCGGCTCCTCTCCACGGTTCATTTCGTCTTCTATATCCCATATTTCTGGCATGCTGCATCCAGGTCTAAGAAGAAATACAAATTATAAGGTAAACATTTGTGCTTCAAACATTGGTGGATCAGCTCAATTGGTCACAAGACTGATGCACCTTTTGGTGTATGGTGCCATTTTTAAGGGAAGATAATTATCACTGCACAAAAAATATTACACTGTTTACACACATATATATATATATACACAATAATATAACAACAGTGAGGAGGATTAAAGGAGGATGCTGTATTCATCTCACCTTAAGCCTGCATCTTCGTAATGGGGATGATTGACAATACACCTTCCTGTGGACAATTTTGCAGAAGCCATGGTAGGCATAGGACCTGCAAACACAGCATCTACAAAAACAAAACAACCAATTAAATTGAAGGATACTGTACATCCTTGGTTCGAAGGGCCAAATTATTGTTCGAGTTGATCTGACGAGCCAAAGATAACCTCAGCCGTGTTGAAAGCAAGTCATACCCTAAAATTGGGTCGCGGAAAATTTTTGTGTGGACCTGTCATTAGTCAGTCGTCAGTTAAAATACAAAGAGTTTTCTGCAAGTACGCAGTACACATCATGTAGTAAATGTATTTTAATGAGCATTGTCTGCTGATACACCAACTTTTTATTACCCCTGTGAAGTAATGCTGTTAACGAATCACTGCAGTCTGAGACAACTACAGAAGAAGATTGGAAACGACCCAAGATTTCCTTTGTTCTTCCATCCCGGCGATTCATTGTTTCATGTTGTTTCAACATGTCTAAGATAAAGTTTTTACTTCCTCTGGGCTACTATGTTTAATTTAGCAGAGCTAATAAGAATTAATACCAATCTTGGGGGGATTTTTTTAATAGTTCTGTTTACAGTGTTTAATTTTAGATCCGAGTGGGGTAACCCCTAAATCATAACCCGCTTTTGGCTTATTTGAAGCACACAGTGATGAATAGGACCACATAGTGAAGAATAGGACCACTGAAAGTAGCCAGTGCAAACGAAAGCTTCCTTTTGTATACCTGTTCCTCCTTACCCTTTGGTGTGCTAGCCATGATCCAATTAAGCAGTTCTTCTTGGGGTGCATTGCTAAATTCCCCTTTGATGTCCCACTGTGACTGCAGCTGTGATATGCCTGAGATACCCATCAAAAAGATGAGCATGACTACAAAGGAGTAGTGTTGCGTACGGCTCCCAATAAAACCAAATAACTGAAAAAAAAAAAAAAGAAATCTTCACATTCAGATCCAATTTAGTTTGTTATGGAGGACATGGGAAAAATTAGTAATTGTTCCTATGTGCGTCAATGGATCTTTATGCTAGGCCATGCCCCTTGGATATTGTTGCTAGGTGCCACAAAAACAATATGTAAATGTATATTAAACATATGTTTTTGTGGGACAACACATTTGTTTGTAGGGCACGTGTGTATTCCTGGCTCTGCTGTGATTGGACAGTTGTTAAGTTTGATTGACACTGCGGAAAGGTCTTGTAATGTTGCTTATATTTTTTTTAATTGACTTTAAAAAAAAAAGTGGAAGGTATATTTGGTTTATGAGAAAAATGTAATACCACATAGAAGTCTAGGATTGAATGGCTAAGCATCTTAACTAAGAAACATCTTTTAACAATATCACATTTTATATGACAATGCCTGTGACCTGCCTATATAAGGCATGTCATGGCGATATCGTTAAGTTGTCGCACAGGCTAGTATTGAGTAAATGATATAGATGGTAAATAGAATATGAGAGCTCAAAGAATTGCCTGAAAATCAATTTTTTTTAAAACTATAGATCAACAGTTTAATGTCTTATTAATCATGTCCCAAGTATTAGTTCTGGAAGTGGTCAACAAATCATTTATTTAATGTTATTTAGATAGTTAATTCTATTAAACAATGTATGCACAAATAACTTTGGAAGGCAATTACTCAAAATCATGTTTATCTTGACTCTAGAGTGCTGTACTTTCACTTTCCAATAACTTAGGCTAGAAATGTCCAATTTCAAAGAATGACCCCCTCATTTTAAAGATCACATACTCAGGTATCTGAAAATACCAACAACTTGAATTTCAATTTTTGCTACAACTTAGCCATTTTGCCACAACATGCCTCATATATGAGTGTTTTATGACATCATCACATTGTAGTGTGAAGTTACCTGCTTTGAAGCAAATAGTGAGCACATCAAACAGAGATGCGGAGTGAAGAAGAGTTTCAACCTCATGATTATGAAAGCCATTATTGTAAAGGCACCAAGTTGAAAGATATGGTAAAGCAGCTGTTAAGGAAGAAAGTAATTTTTTTCAATTCAACTCAATTTATTGCATGTAAATTAAAAATAAATACAATTTTTAAAAGTAGCAAAATAAAATAGACATAAAAATGGTATATCATAAAAATTTAAAATATAGAGAGAACTGAGAAGGGATGGACACAAGAATAAAACAAAAAAACAAGCACAAAAACCCTACTGTAATGACCCTGACCTGGTAACAGTATGCAAATTAATATAAACATTAAGAATTACTATAACCAACAACATCTTAATGTACACAAAAAAAGAAAAGGAGTGCAAGCAGGTGCAAGCATTGTAAATATAATTATCAAGTATTATTATTTTACAATCATCATCATCATCCCCATCATTATCATTATCGTTCTGACACAAACACACATCAAACAAGCATTTGCAGTACCCACTCACCAAGCGCAAGCTCGATGTTCTAGTGATTATGACACTAGGCTAGTTATCTGGAGGTCATGGGTTCAATTCCCACCCTAATCACTTTTTTTCACAAGAAATTGGAAATGACTATTCGGTATGATAACACATCAGGTAGGGCAAAACATCACTGCTATAATCATCATCATCAATATCACAATTTACAAAATGCATAAGTAATAAATACATAAATTAAAAATTACTTAGTTCTACAAATCCAAATATTTTGTTTTACTACAAAGAATTGTCTACTTTCCATATCATACAAATTTCTCCACAAATCTAACCTAAATCTTTTAATATAAGGTATTTTTTATTAAACTCAGAACAACTTACTTCTGCATGGGGCTTTGGTCTTGTAATGCTGTAACAGATAAGATGCAAACATAAGTTTTAATGTTTGTTTAAAGAGCATTCACTGTCAAATTATGATATAAGTCTTTTCAATAAAAATTCGTATACATTCTTAAGAAACATAAACTATTCTACATAAAAATTTAAACTCAAGGTTCAGTCCATCAACCTGTTGAGCTATGAGGCCAAGTTGATTATTAGGACACTTTTTCATGAGGCACTGCACGCTAAACAACAATTGATGAATTATCATATGAAGTTGAAATTGTCATGGAGAATATTTGAAACTTACGGCGGTAGTAGTGTTTCCTTGGAGCTGTCTTCATCTTTTTCCTTAGATATGCAGGTCTGCCAAATGTTGTACTCCAGTACAACAAGCTAGTCAAAAACATTATGAAAGATATTATATATACATATATAATACACATATAAATTTTCCAAACTTTATTAATGAGATATCACAAACGTTTTTGGCCATAGGCCTTCATTAGATGTAAAGCATAAAATCCAATAAAACAATTTACGCATATATTACAAATGTAGGACAAGTATACAAACATATCATATGAAGCAAGCTTTATTGAGTAAACAGACAATAGAACAATATTCCTTAGTGGAGTACGTCAAGCTAATATTAGCAGTACAAATTAGGGAAATCAATATACTAATGGGTATATACAAATCTATAGATGCCAACAATCGATCGCAAAGAAATAACACATGCTGTAACAGATATGATGAAACAATGAAGAATGAAACTAGAAATGGTAAATGAAAGCAATAATGATTCCTGATTGATTCCTGATGATAACATAATTAATGTCGAAATATTGAATCCTGACACGATGGTGTGCATTTCGATACTTGGAGTATGTATTATACTATCTTATCTGAGATTAATCAGTGGACCTTTCGGTTCAAACTAGAAATGCGTCTTTTACACTGCGCAGTAAAAGCACAGCCTCCCAACAGTGTGATTTTTCTCTGAGAATTGATAATAAGAGTTTGAAATGAATCAGACTTAACCAAACTTTAGTTTTCGTGTACCAAATAATTTATCACCCACAAGTATAAAAATCTGTTTAACCTCAAATTAAATTTCCATTTTTACCTCAAATGTAATAACATGTCAGCCGAAAATGTAAAAATACATTGAAATGATATGGAATGTTATGAAATAAAAAAATGTTATAACAAAAAATGGAGCACTGCGGAATGATGCAATGGAACGGTATGAAATTATATGAAATGAAATGCTATGATATAATATTCTGATATGATGTTTTATATGAAATGATATGAAATGAAATGATGATATGAGATGATGCTATACAATATGTTGTGATATATGATACATTTATTTATTAAGCTTCATCACTAGGAGACAAGATATATAAGATATTATATAAGAAATGATAACAAATGTTATAAAAATAATGTGAAATGTTATGAAATAATAGTATAGTAGTCATAACTCCTTAACAAAAATTAATGACATCTTGGCAGCATATCAAATATCTTTTAAATCAGCCTTGGGTAAAATTAACAAGTTATAAAATGTTTATCAGCACAAACTGATAATAAACTTACATGGTAGAGGACAGCAATAATAACTATGATGGCACTTGGTATTAGTAAAGTATATGTTAGCTTCGATACTGTCTAAGAATACAGAAAAAAAGAAATAAAATAAATGGTTAATAGCTGTGTACGTATATCACATATTACTGAGCATTTATGAAATCAATGAATTAAGGAATTGAGGAATAATTATTGGCAAAAATACAACATGATATAGTCGAAATCTGGATACAGTTTGAATAGAAGTAGGTTTAGGAAGGAATTTGGTGCGAGTATGGCAAAGGTAATAATTTTCCCGGTTAGCAATTTATGACTTGGTGTGATAACCCCAACCCCCATATAGAAAACAATATGGCATAGGGCTTATTTTATTATTAATATAGGGCACACACGTGTGTTTGAAACTAAATATAAGCATTTTCATCGTGGTTTTATTTATTACAATCATAGGCCTATTCTTTCACCATCATTACACATTGAGGCCCTTCTTTTAGGTAAAACGATCTATCTTAAATTTTCTTTCTTGAGTTTGGGACTATGTGTTATAACTTCGAAGGTAAAGGAAAGCAAGCACAAGCTTCAACATTAAAAAATGCACGCGAAACGCGCGAAAAATTTTTGTTTTTTTAATTCCAATTTCATCGGAATTAATCAAAACTCCCTAGAATGTGATATTTTTAGAGGAAATTGGCCTACCTCAACTAGAAATGCTCTTATGTTAAGGCCACACTCGTTTTTTAAAACTGAATATAAGCATTTTCCTTATGGCTTTATTTATTACAAACATATTCTTTCAACATCATTACACATTAAGGCCCCTCTTTTAGGTAAAACGATCTACATTAAATTTTCTTTCTTGAGTTTGGGACTATGTGTCATAACTTAGAAGGCAAAGGAGAGCAAGCACAAGCTTTAACATTAAAAAATGTTTGTTTTTTTTTAATTCTAATTTCGTCGGAATTGATCAAAACTCCCTAAAATGGACAATTTTTAGAGGAAATTGGCCTACCTCAACAAAATACAGTATGCGATTTAAAATTTGAGGTTTTCAGGCACTTTCCCAGGTCAAAAGGGCATTCAATGGGGAAAGATTTTCCACAGATGGATATTTTCCCCTTGTCCCCCGGTGGTTACGCCGGGGGACAAGGAGAATATCTGGTGGCTTAGAGAATATCTGGTGGCTTAGATCAAATGCGCTATGGACACTTTTTGAAGTGGAGAAGGGGTTGTAGGCCGGGGTATTGTGATATCTGTTCATTATACCTTCCTTTTTATTCTTGTCTTTATTTTTCTATTTTCTTTTTCTTTTCCTTTTTCCTTTTCTTTTGTTTCCCCTTCTTTCTCTTTCCCTCCCTCTCCCCGCTTTCTTTTCTCTTCTTACAGCCCGGTACGACGGCTTGGTCAGCCCGGTAAAAACCGTCAGGGGGGACAGTCTGCCCACCTGCCCCCGCCTGTTATGCCACTGCTTATAAGATGAATGTGAATATGAATCATGCAGATCTGGAATCAAATCTAGGTGGTGGGGTCAACATTCCTACCCCGGGAAAATTTCTAGATGGCAGGAAATGAGCTTTCCCGACTTCTGACGTGTCTTTAATTACTTTTAAGTTCTTCAAAATTCAAGGTCTTCCCATCTTGAAAACGGTCTGGTAATTTTTTCCCATTGTTATTACAGTAAATAGGGCTTATGTGTGTATAAATACATAACAATTTTAAAAAAATGAGTAGTTGCATACGAATTTTCCATGAATCAATGAATCCCAAAAAGAAAGGGGGTCCGGGGGTTCTTCCACAGGAAAATTTTGATTCCTAGAAGGTGGGAAATGAGCTTTCCCGACTTCTGAGGTGTCTTTTAAATTAGTCATTAAAAAATACTTCAGAAGTCGGGAAATCTCATTGTCCACCATTTAAGAAATCAACATTTTCCCGGGAAGAACTCGAACCTCCCGTTCTCTGGGTTCATTGATTCATTATAATAATTTTCAAGAGGGGAACACCTTGAGTTTTGAAGAACTTAAAAGTAATTAAGTTCTTCAAAATTCAAGGTTTTCCACTCTTGAAAACGGTCAGATAATTTTTTCCCATTGTTAATACAGTAAATAGGCCTTATGTGTGTATACATACATGAAAGATTGAGTAAGTTGCATACGTAGTTTTTCCATGAATCGATAAATCCCAAAAGAAATGGTGGGGTGAGAGGAGGTCTGTGGTTCTTTCCCGGGAAAATTTTGATTCCTAGGTGGCGGTAAATGAGCTTTCCCGACTTCTGTGGTGTCTTTTAATGACTTTTAAATTTTTCAAAATTCAAGGTCCCCACCCCCACCCCCTTTGGAAATGATTCAATTAATCAATGAACTCCAAATTCAAGGTTTTCCCCTTTTGAAAAGGGTCAGGTAAATTTTTCTAATTTTTTATTTTATGTATGTATACATACATAAACAAATGAGTAGTTGCATGCGTATTCTTTTTTCCATGAATCGATAAATCCCAAAAAGAAAGGGTGGTCTAGGGTTTCTCCCCCGGGAAAATTTTTATTCCTAGATGGCGGGAATTGAGCTTTCCCGACATTTGAAGTGTGTTTTTTAATGAATTTTATGTTCTTCAAAATTCTAATTTTCTACTAGCAACAAAAAAAAAAAAAATTGAAAAATCAGCTCATGAGTCCTGAAAAGGTAGGGCTAGAATTCTTTTCTTTTTCCAGTTTTTTTGTTGCCCAAGGGAGGGGTCAGGACCCATGACCCCCCTCTCCCAGATCCACCAATGTGAATTGCGAGAAAATGTACCTCGGTCGGGTACTGGATAAACGTTCTTTTTCCAATCCTTCTCCTCCTTCTTCCCTCCTTTTTTTGCATTTCTGATCATACAAACATTTCCAGACATTATGTATTTTTCGCCAAAAAGTGGGGGCAAGCCCCCACAGCCCCCCCCCCCACTTCCGCCGGCCATGAAGTTGGCTGGGACACTAGTTAGACTGGGTAGGAGTTGGTTTGGGTACAAGTTGGCTGGGATATTAGTTAGACTGGGTAGGAGTTGGTTTGGGTACAAGTTAGCTGGGACAGTAGTTAGACTGGGTAGGAGTTGGTTTGGGTACAAGTTGGCTGGGATATTAGTTAGACTGGGTAGGAATTGGTTTGGGTACAAGTTGGCTGGGACTTTATTTAGCCTTGGTAGGAGTTGGTTTGGGTACAAGTTGGCTGGGACACTAGTTAGACTGGGTAGGAGTTGGTTTGGGTACAAGTTGACTGGGATATTAGTTAAACTGGGTAGGAGTTGGTTTGGGTACAAGTTGGTTGTTATATGAGTGGGTTTGAATACGAGTTGGTTGGGGTAGAAACTGGTTTGGGTACAAGTTGGTTTGTGTTAAGAGTTGGTTTGGGTACAAGTTGGTTTAGGTACATGTTAGTTTGAGATTTGAATAAGAGTTTGTAAATAACTGAATTTACCACTAAACATGACCAGCCTTAGGCTTGAATCCATACTCTTTGAATTGCAAGCCTGGTGCCACATGTTTCCAAATTGACAGGCATTTGTTACTTACTTTGAATTCTAAAAAGTCAAACTCTGCAGCACATGTGTATAGCATTGTGTGGAAATCCTTGTAGCCAGTAAACTTGGACTTGAATAAGTTTCCAATATGAGCCTAAGGATGAAAACAAGGTCTTGTAATCTCGAAAGCTCCGATGAGGGCAGTATAATAGAGGCAATAGAGTATATTGGCTCTAACAGCCAAGTTACTTCATAGCAGGAAGAACAATACCAGTTATACAATTTGGAATGCTAGGGTTAATCCTAAATTAGTAAATGTTTCAGCAATATAATATTTTTATTTGATGGTTTAAATAATTGTAAATTTTATATGGATGAATGTCGGCATGTAAAAAATCTGATAAAATCGGATAAAATTGTAATTATTTTTGTTATTAATTGTAAAAATGTGTTTGTTGTCTTTCTGCATTGGTCTGTATTTACAGGTGATGACCTGGATTTCACGTGCTTTCTTTTTATTTGAGATTGAATAAAAAGAGAATGTAGATCCTTATCTCTCATTGTTATTATTATTTGCCATGTAATATGAATAATGAAACTACTTACATCATCTGTCACTGATAACAGCCTTGCTAACAAAAACTTGAATCCTAACGTGCCAACAAGCAACAAGCTAACTTGTCCAATCTATCAACAAAAAGAACAACAGTATCTAATTATTAATTAGTTATTAATACGATTAAAAATTGTATTTTCTTGACATGTTCTCTGCACTGGCTGAGAATACTCGTCTTACAGGGTTTTAAGCATGGTTTCTATACAATCACTACACGCTATCGATGACAGCTTTCGGTCATGATGATTGGTCGGATGAATCAAGGAGCCTTCTTGATTCAACTGATATGCACTTTAACGATTGTACCGAAACAAGTAGTGACAGTGTAGCGATTTTAAGAAGCCAGGCTTTGCAAATCATCCTGGGAAGAATATATTAGTAGATACAGTCTAGTTTTGTATATTACGAGGCTGTTGGTCGACAATTGCATGAATACACCAATGGCAGCTCCGGAAGGTACATAATCAAAATATAAATTTGATATATTTGTTGTGTATTTTTATCATGTGAAACTGCTAAAAATATTTCTTTTTGGTGATATATAAAAAATGATCAATTTTCACTTACAAAGATAAGAATAAAGTGTGGTAATTTCTTGAAGACTGCTTCCAACATAATTACAACCTGTAAAGCAAATTAAAAGAATTTTACTAATTTTAATTTACAATGATGAAAAAAAAATGATGACTGAGCGACCAACACTGATTTCCAAATATCAATGTGCCTGACCAACCCAAAAAATTAGTGTTTTTCATTAAATGTACTTATATTTATATACGATTAATTAAAGTAAATAATGCACGACTCACCCAGATACTCAATAATGCTGCAGCGTAAAATGAAGTAAAGAGCATCTCATTTCCAAACAGGAACACAAAACTTATAAACAAACCAAGCTGCAGAAATTTAATGAGAATCACAAGTATGAAATACACAGGACAACAAAACCTTATAAAATCAAGAACTAAAAAAAGTCAAGAACTAACTTGAATGATCTGTCTGTATTGAAATGCTTGTATACTGTCCCTCTAAAGTTTCAAAGCTATTTTGTACAGAGAAAACACTTCTTTTCCCTTACACACAAAACAACTCCACTGCATAAACCTCATATTAAGATTCAGTTTGTGTAAAGCATCGGGTTGTGTGTGTTTGTCTTGTGTAAGAGACTGTCACTTTCAAATAGGACAGTGATATATTCGCTATTCTGTGTGTCTAAAATAAATAAATACTGAAAAGTATGTAAATCAGCAAAAACAAAATTGCTTTTCAATTTTTCTCATTGGAAGTTCATAACATATCTGATTCTTTTATTAAATTAAACCATTTTGTTTTCCCATGGTGGTGGTTATTTTTCACAAGGGAAGCAATTTTTAGTGTAAAACAAGGTATTTCTTTTTTTATGATAATCCTATGAATTTAAAATCTTATTACCGTGTGTGCTTTTAAAATACATTTCATCTTCTGGGTGTCAATATATCCAAAAGTGTAGGTACCAAACACAGCAACAATCTAAACAAAATAAAGTTATGTTTGCTCATTACATACAACAATGATGAATAATAATCACTAAAATTACTACTAGAGCACTCACTCTATAGAATGCATACCCCTGCCCCGTGCCTGAATACCAAACAATACGCAGGCCGTGTATGATGGGCGATTCAATTATTTTCCGCAATGTGCCTAAATACCGAACAATATGCAGGCCATTCCATTTTATTTTATGCTTGGGATAAAAAAAAAATTCTGTAACCTTGAACTTTGACCGTTTTTTTTTTCTTTGATTTTTATGTACCATTCCACTAAATTTTATGCTCCATTCATTAGTTTTTGATGCATTCATTTGTTTTGAGTAATCTTGCTAACAACAGACATGAGAGCAATGAATATATAACATTCTGTGACCTTGTCCTTTGACCTTTTCTTCAAAAAATTTAATCATTTCGTTCTTCGAATATTATGTGCTATTAAAATAAATTTTATGATGATCCATTCATTAGTTTTTGCAAAATCTTGCTAACAAACAGAAAGAAATGAATACATAACCTCCTTCAGCGGAAATAACAATAATTATGGTTTACATTTTACCGGGAAAATTATATTCAATAAAATTATTATCCTCTGTTTACTCTGCAGCAGCGGTGACATATCCAATCCTGGACCGTTTGCAAGTAATGCTAAGCCATCCAAGAAAAAGTGTCATGTTTGCTTAAGGCTTTCAACAAGAGTATTCGAGTGACAATGTGAGGCCATACATAATTAACAATGCCTTGAAACTCCATCAAACAGGACTCTTGCAGCTTTACTAGCCTTCTTTTTCCGAATGAAGCATATCAATTTGTTTGGTTTGGTTTTGGTCTGACCTCATAAAAAAACATTTTTAATACTGCGCGCATGTAAGAAAGACAAAAATGAACAGATTGAGTGTGCTGCACGGCGCAGTGTTTAAGCGATTTCATTATTCAAAAAGGGTATATAGAAATATATATATATAAAAACTTTTTTAAACAATCAACCATTAGTGAAACACTTTCGCTGTGCTTGTGTCCTTGGGCAAGGCACTTTCTACGGTTGTGGGTACCTGGTAGGTTCCAACATAACTGCGCTGATTACTAGCCGCAATATTATTGAATAATAATATAATTTAATAATTTAATTTGGTGTTCAATGTGTTCCATATGTGTTTGATCCAATGACCGGGGTAGTAATGTGAAGCGCTTAAAGGCTTTGTTAAGGCATTAAGCGCTATAAGAACGACATATTATTATTATTATTTATTAAAAATACATTCCCAATTTATGCATAACACTGTAGAAATAAGACATCTCCACTATCAAGCATATTCATTTAATGAATTTTAACAAATCTTTAATACAGCAGGTACCATTATTTTCTTCAGTTCAGAAAATGGAACACGCCAATTAACTGGGCCGCCTTTAAGCCTTGGTAGTTTTTGTTCTTCAATGCCTTTGATATAACTAAAAATTGACGGAAGAAAATTTTATCCAATTAGATTAATTTTTATATATAACTGGTCCCAAAATCGGATTAGTGTAGGAAAAGAAATGATGTAAATAAGCGACGCCTCATAAGCCTGCTCAAATCCCGCTGAACACCACTAATATCGCCTATATTTTCGCAATTCAACCCAAAAATGACATGGACCAAATATTTGAAAATTGTTTGCAACAGCTATATTTATAGCCTTCTATAAACCATTTTCCCGACCTCTAGATTTTGAATTACAGTTTTTGTAGTAAAATCAGTTGATGTTTTTGAAGAAGCGCTAATGGTTAAGAAATAGGGTGATATGACCCCTCCTACCCCTCAAAAATCACCTTCAGGTAGCGAAAAGGAGCTACCTATTTTTGATTGTTTCATTTTGTCCATATTAACATTAGATCATTGCTACCTAAACTGTCGAAGCTCAGTATATTTGCATCACTACCGAAAGCTGCCATCAATGGCCTCTCTGAATATGAGATTTGATGGTTTGGTCCCGGATTCTGAAGTAAAAATCGAAGGTTATGGTACGCAACGTAAAAACCGATCTACACATAGGGGTGGTGTCTATGTATTTATTAGAGACCATCTTGCCTCCAATTGCGAAGTTTATCAAGGTGATATCAAGGTGATATTGATTGACCTATTGTTACCAAAAAGTATACCTATTACTGTTGGTTGTTTCTAAAGACTGCATAAAGATGGAAAATTCATTAAAGAGTTCAAATTGGTCCTGTCCACTCTCAGATCGGACTGTGAATCATTTTTCCTCGGGGATAGAAAAATATCTTTCAATCGTCAAGGCTCAGATCTCTTCAATAACTACAAAGTTTGCTAAATGTGTATAGCTTAACTCAGATTATTGATTCCACTAAATGTATTGATAAAACTTCCTCATCTGCATTAGACCATACTTTGTGAAATGCTACTGACTGAGTGATACAATCTGGTACAATAAATATAGGCATGAGTGACCATCTTGCTGTTTACTATAATAGGAAGCTTTTAAATTTAAGCCTAATGCCCACAATACCATCAAAATTTGATCTACTCGAAATTATAGCAAAGAAATTTAATAAACAATCTCCAGAAAATTAATTATTATCAACAGTATCGATGTCAATCAAAAAGTTAAACGTATATTTTTAACAATCCTTGGCGAAATTGCTCCAATTAAAGAAATCTGTTTGAAATGCCGTACAGAACCATGGATTAATGATGACATTTTAAATAATATTTATCAACAGGAGAGGTTGTTGTACTCTTTCATAAAAAATAATCAGACAAATACTTTTAACAAATACACCAAACTGAGAAATAAAATTCAAAAATATATTAAAAAAGCCAAAGCTAACTATTTTAGAAACAAGGTCAATGAATGTGAAAGTGATTCAAAGAAGCTTTGGAAACACATGCAAAGTTTGGGCTCTAAGCAAACCAAAAAATCCCATGCTAAATTAGTTCTTGAATCAAATGGATATTATATCATGAGTCCTTTTAGATACCTATAACGTAAATGGTGGTGGTCCAAGCCACTGTAACTCTTTTGTTTAAGGTCAATGTGTCACTGAGCCTAGCAAGCTACAACAGTATTGACAGTCAGCCTTCATTTTACAGATTCACTGATGAAGAAATTGAACTTCGAAAAGATCGCTTGTATGCCTGTGCCTGCAGGTTACTTGAATCCTCTCCCTCTCTTATTAGTACACGCACTCTTGTTACCAGATTTAAAGCAACAAATCAGCTAAACAAATCCATTTCAAAATTGAAAGATGTTGCAACTCAGCAAATTCCAATGATAATTTTATTGACATGTTTCAAGATCTGAAATCTTCATGGTTTCATAACTAATCATAATATAATATATAAATGATATATGGGGAGAAATTTCAAACCTGGAGTTCCCCTTTAATTTCAAGCCCACTTAAATTCTTCTTCCTAAATTCATTTTCATTCAGTTTCCTCCCAATTAAGGAATGTTCCTGTTTTGTTGAGGTTTGATGTAGCTGGAGTTTCTCCAGATTCACCCACTTCCTCAAAAAGATATTGCAGAAAACATGGCTGGGAAAAATGAGAGAATGCACAACCAGTGGAGGAGGCATTTAAAAAAGTATTTTTAATCATTGTTTTGGCTCCAAACAACTATAGTAGGGGTATATATTGTACGAATAAATATTTTATAACGATAACTATCAGTGTTAGAGGCACAAAATATTTTTTCTCCATGGTTGGTAGAGCAGTTTTCTTGTATTCAACTATAAGAATGAAATTACAGCTCACTGAAATGTCTGTTAAATTTAATGTATAAAAATAGTACTAAATATTAAAATTTAGTAATTTTTCCATTCCACATCCAACAGCAAATACACTTGAAGAATTGAAGGGACAAAATGATATTCTATATAAACTACTATATATTGTAGTCCAATACATTCAATTCTACAATATCATACAGTACCAGTTACCCATGGATTAACGTACATGCAGAGAAAGTAAAGGTAATGGGCTGTCTCCAAGGAAACAAGCAGAGGATTTAAACACCAAAATTTCCAGTTAACAAACCAAAATACCTCAAAAATGTATTACACTAATCATACTGTAATATTTCATTTTAAGCTCACTTTAGTCTGAAAATAGAGATAAAAGCGGAACACAGTTACCTGTGTCATTAAAGCGAACTGGGCGAATTGCCAAGGAAGCATAAAAGCAACGATGGCGGATGCAATTGCTGTTACGTGCTTCCAATTAGATTCAGCAGATCTCAGGCAATACGTCACTAGTAACATCTCAAGCACAAACACCGGATACGCAAAGCTTTCACGCAACGGTGGTGTCCATTGGACACGTGTACACTGCAATAACAAACACATTCAAAATCATGTTAAATCATTAAAACATACCATCTCAAAACCAAGAAACTACAATTTACTGTTAATACTCTACCAACAGAGCTCAAGGTCCATGTTGGTGCTACACTCAATTGGAATTTATTGTTGAGGGCATGGTTATAAATAAATATGGTGTGCAGTTTTAGGAGTTTTAAATCTTAACAAAATGATAAGACTTAGAAAAGATCTCTAAATTAGGACTTTAAAATTCTAATAGAGTAATATTTTAAAAACAGTAAAAGATAATGAAAGTAATAAAGAAAAATACGTAATAATAATTAATAACAACATCAATGTATCGATGTATGTATGTATATAACAAACGTATATCATGCATCAAACCACCATGCTATTAGAACATAAAGAAAATAATTTAGTCAAATCGATGGATATTTTTTAAGTGGTCCCCTCCTACATATTTTACATCTTTAAACCAGCATTGCACATGCTTTCTGTCTAACTGGGCCCCCTCACTCTACGTTTTCCAAAAGTCTCTTGTGTTTGTTTAAAACAAAATATTTTATCCACAGACTATATTACGTAATTATAGTCAGATTTTGAGTACACTCTATGAACTAGAAGCCAAAGGAGCCATTATTTTCTGACTAAAAAAACTGCAATTTTTTAAGGCAATAATGGCTCCTGCGAATTCTATCGTATATTGTATAAAATTATCAGTTGTGACATCCATCACCTTTTCTATGGCCTTTTCATCAAACTGCTGGTTGTAGAGAGGTTGCTATACAATTATAAATCAAACTGCTGGCTGCTGTGCCAGGTTGCTCAGTGATCAATACATTAACTGTGCGTGTGCATTAGCTGCGTGTATTAGAATGATTTGTTAGTTGCACAGACACTCTTCGTGCAGCTTATTGCAGCTCTTCGCAAAGATGAATAAATTGATTGTGGTTTAATAATGAAGTTTATTAGGGGTTATTAGGTAAAACTAACCACCTGGTAGAAATTTGTTTAATAGATTAAAATGTATTATTATGAAATATTTCAGCATTGCCCTTATTTTTTCAGTTCTTTTATAAGTCAATCAACTTGTAATTTCATACCATTCTGCCTTTCTAGGCTTTGGCTAGGACGGTGTAGGCTTAAGTTTATTAGGGGTTATTATTAGGTAAACCTAACCTCCTGGTAGACATTTGTTTAATAGATTAAAATGTATTGTAAACATTATTATGAAATATTTCAGCATTGCCCTATTTTTTCAGTTCTTTTATAAGTCAATCACCTTGTTATTTAATATCATTTTGCCTTTCTAGGCTTTGGCTAGGACGATGTAGGCTTCACTCGTGTTAACCAGTACCGCAGAGCGAGATCTGTTAAATTCGCTGTGTGCTTTCCTAGCTTGGCCAATCAACAAAATATTCACCGTGACACAGCTTCTGGCGTGAATGCAAGATTTGGTGGTAGGTGGTGCGGGAGAATCGACACCACCGAAGCCCCATGTTTTAAGCTAAGGTGCTGAAATATTGCATTCTTATATCTAAAAAATTTGTTCATATCAACAATAAAATACAGTACAACAATTATATTTCTTAATGCAATTTGGGGGGAGGGGGAGGTGAGATCTGCACGGCAACTGCATCCGTACCAGAATTTTGAGCATTCTGCATACTAGACACAAAAATCGGAGGCACTATTAATCACATTAGTGATCAGTCGAAAATAAGAAAATTCACCACTGATTTATAATCGAATTTAGTATTCTTATACAGACATGCATAATATATATTCCATTAATTTTTTATTTACTGTCAATGTTTGTTCAGTGCATGTTATTATTACCTCGCCATGATTGAAGAAGACTGCCATGACAGTGAGAATGCCACCAAGTATATCATTGCTGAGGTAAACACCAAACAAGAAAAATAGAGCCATCATTACACCTTGCTCAAAGAAAATTGCACTAATGTAGAAATATGCTGGGTCTCCAATACCTTAAATAAAATACATATAAACATCTGATATAATGACGTAAGGTCATGTTGAATCAATAAATAGTTCTGTTTCATAGGACCATTTATGAAAGAAAAATGAGAAACCCCAAAATTTCATACATTATTTTTTTTTAAATGCATAAGAGTTTAACTCCATTCCTGTTGAACACATACTTTTTTTACACCTAAAAAAAAAAATTATACAGGTGAACTTACGTAAGTCGAATCCGAAACGACACTGAAAAATTGTTCGACTTAGATAGAATTTGATTTACAGATTGTTAATTAATGGAAAACACAACAACTTGGCATGTAAAATAAGATAGACTTAACATTATTCGAGTTAGGCAAGTTTAACTGTATAACAGTTCATGAAACACAATTACACAACACTTTACAATAATGTTGAATAAATGTTTTTACTTTACAGTGAATTTGAGAACCTATAGTTCTCATGACTACAAATCAAGTGATTCTCACTGTTTGACTTCATCTAATTTCTACAAATTTCTTTAAAATTGTATAAATTCTATCAAAACATTTTACTATTGGTAAAATAAACAGAATTTTCATAATTACCTTCACAGTTTGCAACTGGGGGTAAATCATGTCCCCGGTTAACTCTAAAGCACTGTTTAGTTGCAATTCCCATCCACTTAGTGATGCTGTCAAACGACCTGAACCCCAGACCTAAAAATACCTGCAGGTAATTAAGCAGTAGATTCATCTTCAGTAACAAATTACAATACAAGAATAAATTCCATTGTGTAGTCATCATTTGACACGACAATGTGATACGTGACTGGCTCTGGCAAAACCCCACCGTTTGGCTCAATTTCTAATTTTGCACAAGCACTCATAAAGTCTGAGAAAGTGTTTTCTTAAAAGAATTAAATATTCATAACTTGGCTAATACTCAACCACTTTCCATTAAATAAACACTGTTTTAAAGAAGATTTCATGCAGAATATAGAAATACCACAAACTCAATTTTGAATTTTACCTACAAACAGCTGGTTTTGCTAGAACCACATATATCTAAAGGTGTAGTGGGATTAAATGGTATTCTGTACTTGTACTGTTTAGAAAATAGAGTTAAAAATGCATCAAAATATACTAACTATTATAGTACTGTAGTTCAAATGTTCAATAATACAAGTAACTGTTAAAATGGTAAAAAATTTTTTTTTTTTAAACACTGCACTTCTTCCCAATAAAATCAAAAGATAGTTAACTTACCTCTGGGTAAAGGTTAAAACGTTTTAAAACATTGATTGTATCAGGAAACTCAGTAATGTTATCTCTCATAGTTGACAATAGACCATCAATGAATGATGGTGCTTCTATGATGGTCTTATAATATGAATAATAAAGACCCTACAATCAAAAAGACACATTGTATTACTAATACAGTTAGCGAATTGTATAATAAAAAAAAATACACTTATCATTTAGCATAAAATGTACAAGAACCTAAAAAAAGACTAACATGAAAAAAAATCATGAAATAAACTTTAAAAAATAATAAATAAAATAAAATATATAAAAACAAGAAAAATAAATACAGTATATAAAGAAATTATACATAAGGTAACTAAAAACAAATAAATAAATATTACTACTCTGTAGTATCATTGTGGTAATGAATGAATGAATAAACGAATAAATATTATAACAATAGCTAGATCATCACTATCCAAATATCTTTGACAAAAAACTGTTGTATGCACATAATATATAGTCATAGCATACCTCCATGGTCATAGTGTACATATATGGTCATGAAGTGAAGTCATCTTGACCATATTTAGGCATATGACATGTTTTTTTTGTAAAATAAAAATTTGATAGTCTGGGCAGAATGTTATATGTGCTTGTGAATTTTTCAAAAAATTGCTTCAGAGACCAACTGCTCTTAACCCAACTGGCTGCCAAACCCATAACAGTTACACATTTAACACTAATTTCCATCATTTCTTACCATCTCTGTTCTGAAGGTCATTTCTCGTTCCATGTCCGATAGATGCGAAAAGAAGCGGTCGTTTTCAAACATGGAAGACACATGAGCACTGAAACCAAACCAACCAAAGTGTATGAGAAAGGCTCACTACAATTTACACAGTAATTTGTGACATCTCTTAATGTTTGAATTTGTTTAATCAAAATGAAATTGCTGATCAATAATCATGAATTAAAAATACTTAATAAAAAGCTCTAAACAAATTTGGAAAACCATAAAAATAATGCTAAGTAATTATACTGTTAAATGTCATGAACACAAACCACAAACCAATAAAATATTTACAGGCTGTGAGATTGCGGTTTTAGATTTATACATCAGTGACTATCATAGTGGATCAAAATGGAATAAGGTATAAACTTTAATAAACGATTTAATATTGGGATTGTTTTTCTCAGTAAGTGGACAATACAATTTCCATAAGAATGGATGAAATACTGTAGAGCGTTGCCCCTGTCAAATAATCTGTTTGTATTATCTTTGTAATAACACATTTGTTGCATACTATTGTGTGTCCTATAATTTGATCCACTATGATAGTCACTGATAAAAGCCGCAATCTCACAGCCTGTAATTTTTTAGTTGGTTCAAGCTTCCATGCTTGCTAAATAAAAGATCAAGCTGTCGGCTGTGCAATTGGCTTCTATATACATCCAAATTATCTAAATATATCTACTATATATCCTAATACAAAAATGTTCTGTAGAATTATAAACAGTAGAACTCTTATCTACAGACAACATTTTAGAAATAAAGAAATATTTTACAGAATTTCTATCATTCTCTATAGAATACATACTTCTATAAAATTTGTGTCAAATTTTTAAAAAAAATATATCTACTGATAATTTTTATACCATTGGACAGATAAATTTGAAGCTTGAAACCTGAGTTTTAAATGACAATAATCAGAATGATGATGATGATGATCTTGACAGTAAAATTGATGAGTTCAAAATGTCGCAACATTTCTTCTTGCTATGAAGTAGCGAAAAATCGCATTTAATCAAGTTGCTATATTATTAATTGACTGGAACAGTCATAGCAGGGTCACAAACGAGCAGGTTAAGAGCAACCTCCCACCCCCATTTGGGTGAAGAGAGGCAAAACCTAAGTAAAGTGTCTTGCCCAAGGACACAAGCAGTGAGACGAGAGTTGGTCTCGAACTCCCGATCTCACATGATCAGAAGTCCAAAATCTTACACGCTGTGCCACCCGCTACTAGATGATGGCCAATACTCAATGATGATGATGATGATGATTCTAGCATGGAGGCGATTCTAGTAACTACAGTATTAAATTATAATTATATTTCAATTGTACCTTTAATTAAACTGTCTGATAATTCTGAGGTTGAGATTCTACAAGTACAGAATTATATTACCTTATTCAAATTTCTGAAAGGTGTCTGTTTCATGCACTAACATTTACATGACAAAACATTCATACCATCTGCTACATTACAACTACCTCATTAAAACCTAATGTTAAGAAATTGTTGTACATAACCTACATAATTCATTTACCAGTATTCATCCTGATCCTAGCATTAATGATTATGGTTATGTTCTATTATAACATGACACCTAAAGGTGTACTAACTGTATATTGAAGAGTAGAAAATAATTGTTTAATTCAAAGGTACATATAAACAGTAGTGTAGCTCATTTTTTAATCTCAAGTGTGCAATATTAAAATAAGCATACAGTAATTATATACACTAATGTACAGTATGTGATCAGCTGTGGCTAATAAATCCACAGTATGTTGGCATTCTGAATTTCAAGCTACTATATGGTAGCTGCTCAAATAGACCAGGATCAATATGTTATGTAAATATTATTTAATCTTCTGACCAGAATCATTGTAAGTAACAATTCTATATTTACTGTATAAACCATTAAATCTTGTTAAATTATAACTGTAATTTTATGCCTATTAATTTATAATTACCTGTATGATGTGATTCCACAAATCAATGAGAAAGTCAAGATAATAAAATTGTTATTTTTCAATTAGTACTACAGTACAGAGTATGAATTCTACATCAACCTAAAGAACATACAAATTGTAAATTTAGAATTTCCTACAACTGTATGGTTTACTAGAATAGTCACATGTTGATTAAAAAAAAACAAACACCTACCTGTTGAGGATTCCAACCAGGCATGCTGGAAAGAAATTAAAACTCAATATTTACATGCAACAAAATGATGTGAATATGAGAAAAATATCTACACATAAGAAAAACTAAAACAGATAAATGTAAAGCATATATTTGGACTACTGTATGTGATAAAAAAAAAAAAAAAAATGAAATTAAGCAACTTTGTATTGTAGAGCTTGACTGAAATTAATTCAGTAGCTGTTTGTAAACATCAGTATCATAATAAATTGCTATGCGTGCCAACACTATATTAAACTTCAACAGCGTCAATATGATAAATGCCATCTGTTACGGCCGTGAACTACAGTAGTTCGGCTGTGATGTATTAACACCCAGAAATTCAGAAAAGAAAAAAACTTGCTTTCTTTACAAATAGGATATCATATCATAGCAATTCCATAACAAAACAATGTAATGTTCTGCTTTTATATATTTTTTTTAATTACGTTGTTTTGCCTTGGAATGGACAATCAGTTACCAGTGAAAGTTATTTGTTAAATGCGGGAACATACCTACTGTATCATGATAAAGTACCAAATATTGGCTATTTTACAATACTGTAAGGAAGGCAAGGCCCAGCTGATTTTAAAATTATAACTTGCTCGCAGCCGTCACAGTCCTACACCAATACAATGATTATATCACAGAGTGATAAAATTAATAGCTAAGTACTTTGAACATTTTTGTGTCATGTTTATTTGAGTGGTGTAGTGTTACAGTACTACAATACTAGCTATGTTCCGACGATCACTCTTATCCGGTGCAAGTTAATGAGAAATCCATTCAAGGTCGCATCAAATTTTATCGTATGTCTAAACGAGAGTTATAGCGGATAGTTATAGTGGTTATACCTGTACACTGATAATGATATAAAGTATTTCTATTGATCTCATGATGATGTTTCAAAAAACGAAGACGACAAAACAGAAATTACATTAGGCGAGGGCTGCCTGGGTTAGGCCAACTTAAATTGGGTAAGCAGTAGGCCATCCAAAAAATATCGACAAATAAAAGGCAAAATATGTTTTAACATTCAATTTTTTCATCTTCACTTGGTAGAATATTCCGAAAAAGTGAAATAAAAGTTTTTTTTTCTCACCTACCCTACTGTAAGCCTACCTATGATTCATGAACATTTAGGAGATTTTCGGCAGCCAGTATATAACCCGAGCTTCCAAATGTAGTATGCGAGTACGAACGTTGTTTGTGGTTGTTCTTACTAGAATGTGTGAATAGCACTGGCTAAAGATAAGGCTACCGTATTTGCTGTAACTTCAGAATCATATACGTTCAGTATCTCACCGGCGTTCACTGTATCTCATTGAGCCGCATCTTTAGACACGGCGAACAAACTATCAGAGCATTTTGCAAATTTCCCAAAAAAAGACATGAAAATTTATATGAAGTTTACAACGAAAGGTAATAATAAAAATTTATCCTGTAATGTTTTTTTTTTGGATTACTTTTGACAATTATGAAGTTAAAAACAAATAAAAAAGGTAATTTTAAAGATGCTTTGGTTGATATTATGAAACAGTTTGGCCAAGTAGTGTAGCATTGCCTCGAAAACGAGACCGTGGTCAAGCTACAGTTGTTATTACAATCAACATGTGGCAATTCAATTAACAGAAAGTTCTATCGGATGAGAGCCTTGCCAATCCGGTAATTTGTGGGTTGAAGCGCTTGTTTTCTATCAAGGCAATTCAACAGAAGGACGCACATCTTGGGACATCAAAGGTTGTAACTCTGGCATCGACATTCTTGGTGCCATACGTCCCGACACGCTGAACGTCACAATAACCATAACAAACACTGACCATTTAACCGTCAGCGTGTGTTAATAGTTGCCACGATAATCGTGTGTCGTGCAGTGATTACAAAGGCTTAATGATATTTTGCACTAACATTAGACTGAAATTATATTCATTTCAACTGTGGTGTTTTGTTGTTCATGAGACTCATTCACAGAAAAAATTAATAAATTTTCTGTATCTACTCAAATGTTCGTTTTGTACACCTTAGTCCAACATTGTCAAAATGACAGTTTAATGTTACATAAGAACATGAAATTTTATAAAATTTGTAAATTTTCAATTGCTATAACTTTTCAATTTCGTGGTCAATTTTCACAAATCAAATTGCAGTCTATAGAAGTCATTTGAGGCATGTTGTGGCAAAATGGCTAAGTTGCATTGAAATTCAAGTTATTGGTATTTTCAGATATCTGAGTAGGTGATCTTTAAAATGAGGGGTCATTCATTGAAATTGGAAGGTGAAAGTACAGTACTCTTAAAATCAAGATAAACATGATTTTGAGTAATTGCCTTTCAAAGTTATTCGTGCATACATTGTCAAATAGACTGAACTATCAAAATAACATTAAATAAACAATTTATTGACCACTTCCAGAACTAATACTTTGGTACATGATTACCGGCAATAAGACATTAAACTGTTGATCTATAATGAATTTGGATTTTTAGGCTATTTTTTGAGCTCCCATATTTTACTCATTTACTCAATACTGGCCTGTGGGACAACTTAAACCAATTTCGCCACGACAGGCCTCATTTAACAAGCTAGCGGTCAAAAGAAATCAGATGTAACAGACATTGCGAAGTACACTTCTTTTTTTTTTTATGAAAACACATTTTATAAGAACACTGAGGCTGAAATTGCTTAAAAATTAAGAACAAAATAAGAACAAATTGAGGCTGAAGAAAAATGTCAAATGAGGTTTTTGAAAAACCAAAAAACTATATCTGTACCTTATGTGCAGTAATGTAGGTGTGACTATGTAATACCCCCCATAATCAGGTGTACTGTCATTTGGGGCCATTTTTACCAGGCCTTTTTTCTGGGACAATTTTTCCAGGACATTTTTTTCAGGGCCCATTTTTGCTGTGCAATAATAATTTTCTGTGTTTGAAAAGTGTGTAAAATAAGAACAAATTAAGAACATTTTGAGCCTGAAATCGGCCAAAAAATAATAGACCATGGGTCGAGGATCGAAAACATTCAATTCTGTGACCCACCAATCCGGGCTACCTGGCTTTTGCACAAAAATGTCAATACTAATAAATTGTAACATTGATTGATTGTCGGCAATCGTGAATTTGGGGAAACTGTAACCAAAAATGAGAATTTATATCAAAAGTTGCTACGTAACTATAGCCAATCAGAAGACGACTAACAATGAAGTTTGGCTTAGCTGCAAGGCCCTCAGCCAATCACAAACTACCTTCTATGCCGTTTGTCCAATGTAAATAGTAAACAACACACTCCACTTGCAGGTATGGCGTTGGCCAGAAGTTCTTCAAATGATAAAAATGAGCCGGTTTCAGGCATATTTTTGTGATACATGTTGTAAGAACATAGAGTATGGTTGTGTCATTAAGCGTAAACAGCTTAAAGAAATTTAAGGATGTGCAACTCTGTGGAAAACAACAAATACGAGTCCTTAGAAGGCCTGTTAAGTTTCCGTCGAAGCTGATGAATAGCCTACATATATAATGAAGGGGATCTCAGGGATGGTGGTGCAAGTAGTAGTAGTCAAAATTGCACCGAATCTGTTTAAAGGTACGCGTGTGGTTACATAAAACGTTAAAAATGATATGGTATGTTTTGCTTAATTGAGAAGCACTAAGCGTCTCTCTATCACACCACACACACAGACAGGAAGCCCTGCCTTTTCCTCAAACTGGGGTACTATCGACAGCAAAATAACCACAGAGTATTGTGAATCAAATACGATGATGTTATATTGTAATAAGCATATTGAGACAATAATGTTGGCAATGAATCGACCCAGCATAAACAACTGACAATGAAGACTAATCAAGAATAGCCATCCACAATTATATAGCAACTACTGTCTACCAAGAACAATTACTACACAAATTGAATCAATTCAGTTTTTTGGGGTGGGGGATGTGCCCTTCATTGACTGTGCTTAGACTAAGTAATTCAGGCTTAATTTGATTTTAATGTCTTCATGAAAAGAATATAACAAAATTATTATATTAATAGTACAGTATGCTTTACCTACATAGGAATCCTTAGACACAACATAACAAAAAATATATTAATTAATAGGTATCAAAACTGACTTAAGCAAATAATATTTATCAACACTTTGATGTCCAATTAAACATTACCACCTGCATTTAATATTGTATTATACTGATACTACTTATTTTTCCTTTCCTTTCTTTTTTTTTTTTTTGGAAAACAACCTTTGATTAAAAAGAAACAATTTAAATACATATTTGATCATTAAAACCATCAAAGTAGCATTGATAAGCTTTTTAAATTAGTTTGTTTAATTAATTTTCACAGACCACAGAATCAAGTGAATGGAAGTTGATGAACCACAGCCAAAGCAAATGCTCCTTCTGCATCACCTGAAAGCTGAAGTCAAGAATTAAGGAAGTGCTTCCTGGTTGAAGTCATGTTCTCCCATGTATATTTTTGGTAAAAAGACAATAATATATTAAGTACTTTTAATAGAGCAAACACCATTGAGAAATTAGTAAGATGTGAAACATTGAGTGGTGGAATTACTTGAGGCTGCTACTGCAAATCAGGATGAAGCCTTGTCACTACACGAGGGATAAGGATCTGGTGGCAATTCAGGCCATATTATAGGCCATGGATAGAAACATGAATCAATTGAAAGTACTGTAGTCCTATCAGATTGGAACTGTATACTGTTTATGAATGTTGTCTATTTGATATAACATCAAACTTTGTTGAGAAATATTACCAGATATTATTAAGGTTTTTCCTTGTATGAACATTTATCAACAACACATTTATTTTCTTTATAATGAACATTTATCAACAACACATTTATTTTCTTTATAAAAATTTGCATTGACTTTTTGAATTACATTGTATTGTACTTTAAAATGCAATATGAAAAGAAGAAAATAACAGAACAGTACTTGCTGATAAATGATAATGAATACAGCAAAACTTTCATTATTTCTAGTTTTTTTTAAATTGTTTATGCTGGTTGGTTACATTGATAATATTATACAATTGTAATATTTAACACATGTTTATAAGTGGATTGGATTGATTCAGCTATGTTTAAAGCAGTTCTGTGTAGGTATATGGTGTGCTACAGTGTTTCAATAATATTCATATAAAAGTTCAGATTTTTGTCATAAACTTCTTTCAACCTTGTGTTTACTGTTGTGTAGTTAAATGTATATAACCAGTGAGTGATCAGAGAGATAGTGAAAGTGCTGATGTGATGCAACTGGCTGAACTGAGGTATATTAAAAATTTATTTGTTTCACCTTATTGGAATCATCAATTGCTTTACTTTTATTCATTAATTCAGTCCATAGTACCAAGGTCTTCAAGCAGTTAAACAAAAATCACAGGCATGGCAAGAGATACTGATTAATGTTATTTATTTACATTGCATGCAAATAAAAACATTTGAAATTTTACATCAGCCTCAATGTCTTCTTATTTTTTGAAGTAATTCAGCCTCAGTTTTCTTTTAAAATGTACATTTTTTTAATTATAGAAAAAAAAAAA